TGAGCCCTTGAGCAGCCTTGTTTAGCTTAGATGTGTCCCTGCCCATGGCTGGAGGGTGGGTGAGGTGGCCTCTGGGCTCCCTTCCAACCTCAGCCATCCTGTGGTTCTGTGGTTCAGGATCCAGCCAGAGGGGTTCTGCTCCCTGCCAGGTGATGGCTGCACCTTGGGAAGCACCTCAGGACATCTCTGGCAGGGTCCCTGAAGGAGACGTGACCCAGGAGCCCCTCACCCCCACGGGGCTTTGCTCTCTCTCCACCCCTTGTGAGGCAAAGAGAATTCCCAGGGATTTAGGAGCTCCTTTCATCTCATCTGGGATTTGTTACTTCCCAAGTCAATCACTGAGCCGAGGCCACGTGTCAAAGATCTGGAGACCCACTGGGGGGTTCCTCAGCAGGACCCTTGGTGGTGGACAGCAGGGTGGAGCTTCTGGGACTCACCCCAGTGCCACTGGGGTAGCCAAGGCCACCAAGCAGCAGAGCCCCACGTTGGCCACCACCTAAGAGCTCAAACCAGAAGAAAATCCTTCCTTCCTGAGCCTTCTCCAGCTCCTCCAGTACCAGAGAGAGAGGAGAAGCTGGAAAGAAAAAGGATTTATTTATTTCACACCTCTTAAAACCATTTGCTAACTTCTAAATGAAAATTTCCTCCAGGGTTTTCATACTGAACAAACAACCCCCCCAAAAAAAAAGAATTCAGCAAAACAGGTTTGCAAAGTGTTTCAACGTTCCCACACTTGTGGGTTTGGGTTTTTTTAACTTTGAAAAAGCAGCTTTGGTGCAAAATCTGACCTTGTTTCCTTTCCAGCCCCGTGGTTTTTTCCATGAGAATGTACCCTGGGAAGTGGATTCTTCAGCGTGGAGGGATGCCCTCAACCCTCACACGCCTTTCCTTCCTTCCAGAGGGGAAAACAGAGTCTGCCCAAGTCCTCAGAGCTCCCCTGGGAGCTGCTTCTCTGCCCCCAGCCCATCCAGGCTCTCCAGAAGGCAAAGGAGCAGCCCTGAGCATCTCCAGATCCAGCAGCCAGAGCAGAATCCAGGGGCTGGAACTGAAGCAAGTTCCATTTTAGCTACAGTGAGAAATAAAAAAGAGATCCAGGGAAGTTTGGGCAGCCTGGGGAGGCCTGGGAGGGTTTGGAACTCAGCTTAGAGTTCTGGAAGAGATGGAGGGAAGTTCTGCTGTGGCCCAGGGGGAAGCACAAGCCCCAGGTCCCTGCTCCTCACTCGGCTGCAGTGGTTTTATACCAGCACCACAACTCAGGAGCCAGCCTTGGGTGGTGGCAGCTCTGGCTGAGCCCGTGCCCAGGGTGGCACCAGGACCAGCTGAGCCCTCAGGGTGTGAAGCAGGGGATCCACAACTCAGGAGCCAGCCTTGGGTGCTGGCAGCTCTGGCTGAGCCCGTGCCCGGGGTGGCACCAGGACCAGCTGAGCCCCCGGGGTGTGAAGCAGGGGG